GGGGTGGGAGGAGCAGCTGGGGGCGACATAGGGGTGGGTGTCGGAGGGACCCCCTCGGGGACAGCAGAGGGTGCCACCGCTTCGGGTGGGATTTCGCCTGAACAGGAGGCCACGCCAAGTGAAGCCGGTGGTGGTCAGGGGGGGGGGAACGTTGCAGGAAAGCCGACTGTCGGGCTCCCTAAGGGACCTGCATCGAAGTCCGCCGGAATCCGGACTACATGGAGTGAGGCACCAGGCGTAAGTGGAGAGGCCGCTGACCATGAGGAGCCGAAGTCCGCCCGGATCCGGACTTCTTCAGAAAGGGCGCCACAGGCGACGACTATTATGCCGAAGGGAGGGGGTACGCATGTGGGGGTAGGAGAGCGGGCCGCGGGATCCGACATGGTTTTCGGAGAATTACGTGAATGTCGTGGGAGGAATGGAGGGGAAAAAGGGGAAAAAGGGGGAAAAGGGGAAGAAGGGGAAGAAGGGGAAGAAGGGGAAGAAAGGGAAGAAGGGGAAGAAGGGGAGAAGGGGAAGAAGGGGAGAAGGGAGAGGAAGGGGGTGAAAAAGGGGATATCGACATTGACGACGAACGGCTGGGCATTGCGGAGGATGCCGGGTGCGAGGAGTCGTCTGACTCGTTCGGGCACCTTTACTCGGGCCATCCGGGGCCTGATGTCGACGACGATGCGACGACAATGGACATGGAGACTCAGGTGGTCAGTGAGCTTTCAGCAGACCCTGAAGAATATGAGGTTCAACCGTTGACGACTGCAGTCAATCTCCAACACCGCTTCGATGAGGTCTCCGCTGCTGTGAGCCCGGCTGAATGAAGTCAACAATTGAGCGTCGTTGAAGTTATACATGGGATACTCGGCGACGAGCAGGTGGTCGGGCAACAGTCTGCAGTGCTTGTCTCGGACGACCGCCAAAACGTCTCAACTTTCGTGCCCCCGAAGACCGTTCTCTCACCACGCAGCTCTCCAATACCGATGGCCACCTTTGCCGGTGGTCGGGAGGGGGATGTAGGGGGCCGGCAACATGTCACGTCCCCGAAAAAATCTTGGGTCGGCACTCAGGCTCTCGACGTGCTCGCCTTGCCCGTGCCAAAGTCGTCGACGAAGGAACGAAAGGATAAAGTGGCTGGTAAGCAGTGATGAACGCTGCATCGTGAACGATGATATTTTTCTCTTCGTCCACATAGTAGTCGCTTAAGTCCGCCGTAATCCGCACTACCTAGGTCGATGCGTAAGATGGTCACTGTTTGTGCGCCTGCCGTGGGGAGAACACCGTCGGAATCCGAACTTCGGGGAATGCTAGTGTTTCGCTTTTGTGGCTGGGTCTCAGGCTCGATTGCGCTTGTTATGTTGTTCTCCAGCTACACACATGGCGATGTGAATTCGGACGTCTGTGATTGGAGAGGTCATGTGGTTCTTTTACATTGTCACTTTCGTCGGACTCGTGTTGGGTAACGTGTATTCATTATCCGTTTTGTCTTCCTTCTGTTGTACACGGGTAGGGTCATCTCGAGCACGGAGGTCCTCGAAATATCCGGAACACATATTGCAGAAAGCCCTCGGGTTGACCACCAGACACAAGGATATGTTAAAGACATCAGGGGTTGATGTCGACATCCGGAAGAAAGAGCATGCAGTTGCCATTGACGAATGTCTATCCCTTCTGCCCCCAGAGAAACGGACATATCCACGATCTGTGACTAGGGGTCAGGCCATGTATGACAAATACTTAGCTACTCGTGGTGCAATGAAGAAGAATCCTTAGAACTCCGTTTCTCACTCTGCCGCATGTCCTTTGCTCGATGTTGTGCAGTGCGGGCCACGACACCTAGAACAGGCTGGGGAGGATTCAGTGCACTGGCCGCGCTTGGAAACTTGCGGGTTTTGAACGACATTGGTCGAGGGGTGGTGCCACCTACCACTGTTCTCTCGACCCTTGGCCATGGTCAGTTGCGAATTGCAGCCAAAGATTTTGTCACCCTCTCGCTTATCAACGGCAGGGTGAATGATGAGGTGGTCAATTTCTACATGGCGCTATTGGGGACGACCGCATAGGCAATACGTCACATCCCATCAGGCCTTCGAGTCTTCAGCTTTAACTCGTTCTTCTTCAGTAAACTGCAACTTCAAGGACACGGCGGGGTGGAACGATGGGTTAAAAATGTGGATCTACTTCAATATAATTTTATCTTTGTTCCAGTCCACAAACATGATGATCATTGGATCTCTCTTTCCATCAATTTGAGAGATAATGTTCTTGAGATTTTCGATTTTTTTCCTCGCATTATAGCCGATTCTAGTTTTTACCTTAGTGTATTCGAGTTGATTGTACAGTATTTGGAATGTCAAACGTTACATACGCGGTCGGGTATGAGTTGGAAGTCGGTAGCAACAAATGTTGTTACAGAGGGAGTTCCAAGACAAGTGGATGAAGTTAGTTGCGGAGTGTTTATGTTGATGTTTGCGACACTGTTGCAACGTGGCGATTGAACGCCTTTCAGGTTCTCTTGTAAAGATATTCCTCATGTTAGACAACAATTGGCATCACGTATCTTGGAATGCCATTATCATTGATGGGTTCGATTGATTTGCAAACTTTTCTTTCATAATTTTTACATTTTAATGATTACATTTCTTGGATCCTCACATTGTTCAACTGTCGCTTTCACAACGACATTACTTTCTTTTATTGTTGCGAGTTTGAGTTGTCTTTGGTATGCTCACTGCCAGTTTCGCATCGTGTGTTGACTTTCAAATCTTTGTGAGGTCCCGCTCGTCTAAAGTCGTTGCATTGCATTCCTCATTCCAAATTTTGTCCACCTCTTTAAAAGTTGTACGTATAATTCACCTCGAAATGATATGGTGTGTGAAGTGCGAAATGACGAATTGCAGTGTGAACGCAAGACAAATCTCGCCGAGTTTGTGAGTGTGAGGTTCATTATGCGAAGAGTCGAAGACCACTGACATCAAGTCTCTTATGTGCGCATAGTATCACAATACTTGTGACCGCCTGACTTACATGTAACCGACAATTTTTCGTTCGCGGCCAGAAAAAGGAAATTGTATGTCAAAATTAACTTTTTGTACTTCGTTTGCTACTGTGACTCTTACATTACTTGAAATTTCGAATGTCACATTGTTCAAAGCATGCATGTTGAACAAGGATGCAATCATGACACCATGCTTATCACAATTGCAAACAACTATGGATCTCATCACAATTCTGCACATCTGGCGAGATGGTAGGCGTATTTTTCGGACATTGTGTATTTTAAAGAAGTCTGAATCTCATCCACATCCAAAGAACCGTATCAGGCAAGATGATTGCCATGCATGGACAACTTACGCATAACCGAAACAAATGTAATAGCCAACAACGATTCAATCATGAAACCTTGCTCGTCACATTTACGAACTTGAAGTTTCACAAGTATAGATCCCGACACACTATCGCACAGGCTTCCCGGATGGGCGTGCCTATTGGTACTCTATGTCTTCTCCACTTATTCCGGATCTCGTCGAACATCCAGTCAACCGTCTTAGGCGAGAGGTTGAACATGCCTGTACAACTTAGGGACAACGAAACGAATGAAATATTTATCCAACAAGGACACCTTGCTCATCACAATTGTAAACTTTAAGTTTAACAAGTAAGGACCCCAGCACACTTCTGCACAGTGTTCCCTCATGAGCGTGCTTATCGTTATTCGTTTTTGAAGTTCAAGAACTATAGATCCCAGCACACTTCCGCACAGGATTTCCAACACGTTTTTGAAGTTCAACAAATAAGAATCCCAGCACACTTCCGCACAAGGTTTCTTGATGGGTGTGCCTATCGTTATTCGTTTACGAAGTTTAACAAGTACGTATCCCAGCACACTTTTGCATAGGCTTGACGACACGTTTTTGAAGTTCAAACAGCTAGGATCCCAGCACACTTCCGCACAGGGTACCCGGGCGACGTCCCTAACATGTATGGGTCTGAACACGCTTCCTCGTTTGGGATATCACTTATAAAGTTACACAAGTATGGATCTCAGCACGCTTCTACACAAGGCACAAGGCGTTGGATGACGTTGCTTAGAATGCAGCCAGTAATAAATTCGTTAGAAAGAGGACACAGCATAATGTCATATTTTAACGAATAACATGTTGTATGTAGTCACTCCAACACCTGGAGAGACTACATACTATGGAGAGACCACATAACTTTTGTTCTCTAAATATGATGGCCTGCTAGAGTGTGGTTATCTCGTTGTTGTTTTAATGCACTACTTCTTCGTTTGTGCTTCTTGGGACACTTTGGGCCTCTCTGCCTGGAGGTGTCGGTGCCTGCATGGCTAAATGTCTTCATGGTTGCTTGATTGGTCTCCTGAATGCGGTGATGCAAATGCGGTCGTTCTCTCGTACTGCTATGGAGTGTGGCCATTTGCGTTCTCATACCCTTATCGGGGGCGGAAACTTCCCAGAACTGCCTCTGTGTGTTCTGTGTTGGGTCGATTCTTATTGAGGAAGGAATCTTTTTTCCATGACTGCTTATTCCTACGTGGTCTGTGCTCCATAAACTCTGGCATTTTTAGAGCCTTATCGAGGATGGAAATTTCTCATAACTGCTTGTGTGTGTCCTGTGCTCGATCGACTTTTAGACTTTTATCGAGGAAGGAATCTTCTTCCAATGAGTACTTATTCCTGTGTGTTTTGTACTCTGACAAAAATGGAAATGTGTGGAACTGCCGCTGCGATTTATTTCGCGTTCAAAAGGAGTTTATTATTTTATGAAAATATTTTTTCCAAAAAGATCACAGCCTAATCTACAGGCCTCCAAATTTCCAGATAGTTTTACCTGTTCTTCTAGTTGCAAAAAATCACTGAAGCTATGATACTTTTCTTCTCTGTACAGATAAAGACTGTGTTCCCTGAGGCACTCCTTGTGCTTTTTGGACTCTGTATGGATACAGACTTTGAGTCCCTACTTTTTAAATACTTCTGCTTTGTTGGGGAAGCCAGGTTTTTCCTTTTTTTTTTCCCTCGCTGGTAATATTGACCATTTCTTGAAACGCGCAATGGCAAATCTGGCCCGCGCTCTGAACGAAAATGTGTGTTGCAGATGCAGCCCTTTGAAGCAAAACGTTACGCTCATGGCCCTTTGTTTGCAAGTTTTGAGGATAAGGCTTTGAAGTTAGGGTTTTATAGGTTTTTAGGAAGTTAAGGACTTATGTTTTGTTAACAGGCCTCTGCGTGTATGTATGGCTTCCTTACCTTCGGATATACCACTCATCCTAACATCTAAGGGTTTTAGCCTTAAGAATAGCGATTTCGTTAAAACGTTCATTTTTTATTTTTTGTACGAAATTGAAAGTCCTCGTTTTAGCAAAAATTTGATGAAATTTAGGGTAGGGCGTTCAGAAAACGCCCTACCCTTCAGAAAACGCCCTACCCCCTCGAGGTATCTGGACCCGGTCAGAGTCCAGATACATCCAGGGGGTAGGGCATTTTCATAACGCCCTACCCTAAATTTCATCAAGTTTTTTCTAAAACGAGGATTTTCAATTTCGTACAAAAAATAAAAAATGAACGTTTTGACGAAATCGCTGTTTTAGGTTTCACGCCACTTCATCATGGTTTGAACTTCAAAATCCGGGACTAACTATATGGTTAATATTTCAAAGTGGGGCCATTGCACTTAGCTGTTTTTTTTTTAATTTCCTTTTTTTTGTTTTGTTTTTTGTTATTGTTTTTCTAGAGAAAAGGTCACTTCTGATTCTCCCGTGGCCCGGTGCCTAAGGCAAATATATACAACTTCTTAAACTTTTTTTTTAGGTCGAAGGACTGTATGGACCTATAACTCTTGTGGAAACTCCTGTGAACCTGCGGGTAGAGTTTACGTCCCGCTTGTCTTCGGTACAAATCCCAAATAATCCCTCGTCGACTGTCTGAACCCCAATGTGGAGTCTGATTCCATTTTCATACGAAAATACACGGACGCGGGCGGGGGTGTCCGTGTTCCAGCGTTCGGTGTTTGTGTGGAGACAATGTGGTCCAACGACATCCGACGGAAAAGGGCATGAGGCAGGCCACGAAAAATAAAATGAAAAAGGGGGACCTCTGCGTCTGAAATTCTAAAATTGAAGTACGACTGTGGTGACGATGACAACGTTCAGCTTGCAGCGCGCATACGGTGCATGGCTGAATCGGCCTTAGCGGCGGCGTCCCTTCCGCCCACCTCCCTATCAGTGTACGTTTGGCACTGAGTGGGTCCATCACCATCAAGCTTCTCCCCCACATCGTCCGCTCCGTCACACGCTGTTCCGCCAGGGGGACGACATCCGCGGAAAGGCAGCAACCTCTTGACCTCTCCTCGGGGGGTGAGCGGGTTACGTCTCTGGGTACGAGGATCGAGACGGCAGCGGAGAGACGTCATCCCTGTTGAGGTGGTGGCAATGGAGGGCGGCGGAGAGGGCGGGCGTGCTCCGTTGACACCACTTGAGCGGGCAGCCGTGGCGGCGGCCGTGTCAACCTTTGTTCTTTGTTGTCAGCAAGAGAAGGTGCTGGGACGAATGAAGGAGCAGTTGTGCGCGCGTAGAAGAAGGGCGGGCGAATGAAGGAGCAGTTGCGCGCATGTAGAAGAAGGACGCTGATGCAAGCTGCGGATCATGGCCCCGACTACGTGGCAACTTCGGAGGCTGTCATCGAGCTGTGCTACACGTTGGGTTGCAGTGTCATTCCACGAGCGACACCAAGGTGGTGGATCAAAACGCAGGACGGGGGGGACGTTGGAAGACCCTCGACAATGTGACGACGCCACGGATGGCTTCTTCAACGAGAAGCACCACAACGCCGAGGAGCAGCAGAGGGACCACCAGAAGCAGCACAGCGATGAGGAGCAGCAGAGGGAGCCTGCAGTACAGGTGGTCATGAACTGTACGGTGGAGAGGGCAGCAATGCCATGTCTGTTGTCAAACGTCCAGCACACGATGCCGGAGAAGGCAAGAGTCTTGTTGGACGTGCAGCACGTGACGCCATGCGTGGGAATACGGCGCTCGTGCAGAAACCTCCTCCATGGACGCACTGAATGCGCCACTGGGAAAAAAATATTTTCCGGACCGTTGATGCTGGCTGAAAACGACGATGC